GCTATATGATGGGATTCGAGTTGCCAGTTTCCTAGAAATGGATATCTGCTCGGGATTAAAGGGGCTTGTGGTTGACGAAGAGAGTGCGCAGTTACACATTCCAGATGAGCGGGTGGTAAAAATGCATGGCTGTGACCATCGAAATATCTGCAGATTTAGTGGACCGGAAAGTAGTTCATACAAGTCGGTCTGGGGTATTCTGAAAGTATATGCGGATGAAGCTAGCAGCTGTAGGTTCTGTGCAAAAAAGCAAACGGCGATGTAGATGCTGACGTCTAATTTATAGTGGTTGAAGATGATCTCACCCCTGAGGATGAATGTAAGGAGCTCAAATCCGTATGAAGCCTCAATCTAACATATATATACAGCTGTATTATCCTCCATATACTACCCGGAAATGGAGCAAAGACGTCGCAATGCAAACAACGCCTACCCAGGTACCTGTACCTGGATCTCCCAACATCCTTCCTATCTTCGATGGAAAGACACACAACACAAACACAGTCTAATATGGATCAAAGGCAAACCAGGTGCAGGAAAATCCACACTTATGGCATATATACTGTCAAATTTCCGCAATCGCGATTCTCGCCATCTGGTACTGAATTTCTTCTTCCACGGTCGTGGTGCCCCTCTCCAAAAGGGGCCCGAAGGAATGTATAGGCAATTGTTGTACCAACTTTACTCTCAAGCGTCACCTATCCGCGAGCAACTCCGAAAGTCCTTTGCCGAAAAGAACGCGTCGAGACAAATAGAGAGTGTTTGTCTTTGGACTGAAGAGGAATTGAAAACATGGTTATTCAATTCAATCGTTTGGATTGCGCAATCAAGGCCGGTTACGTTGTTTGTTGACGCACTTGACGAAGCTGGCGACGACAATGCGAGGATGCTGATTGATTATTTCGATGACATGAAGAAGAAAGTGTCCCAAGATGAAGATGGTGGATCCTTGAGAATTTGCGTTTCTTGTCGGCACTATCCCAATGTCACCTTGAGTGAGGGCTATGAAGTTCTCGTTGAGAGTGGTAACAGCCAAGATATCCGAGATTATGTTCATGCCGAATTGAATTCCAGAGTCTTGCTTTGGGACGGGGATCCGGCCGCGACCCAAGGTAGGAAGAATATGGAAAAGGCGATTGTCAAGCAGTCGGGAGGAGTTTTTCAATGGGTGAAGCTTGTCGTTCCAAAAGTCGCCTATGAATTGAACGAAGGAGCGAGCTTGAATGACATCCGTGTTATGCTGGAGAAGGTACCAAATGATTTAGGACGTGTCTACAAAGATATTCTCGCTAATGTCATTAAAGCTAAATATCGATCCAAGACATTGTTGTTGATGCAGTGGATTTCACTAGCATTCCGACCCCTGAATTTAATCGAGCTTCGCTTTGCATTAGCATTGGATGGACCGCTTCAACATGGGCAAATCAGTTGCCGAGAGCGCGAAGAATTTGTCGAAACCGATACGAGAATGAAGATTTTGACAAAAAGCCTATCTGGAGGGCTTGTCGAAGTAGTTCTCTACACCTCCGGCCAATACATGGTACAATTTATTCATCAAACTGTGGTTGACTTCATGGTCTCTGACGGTCTGAAGTTCCTGTTAGCTTCCGTGGAAGAATCCAACCCTGGGAGGTTGTTGCAGCATGCAATGAAGCTTTCCGACGATGAGATCGTAGGAAGTCTTCATGATAGATTGGCAAGGGCTTGCACAAATTATTTCAAATCAGGAGAACTTACTCAGCAAGGAACATATGGAGATTTGTCGCCCGATGAATTAGACGCACAATACGATACATACGCTTTTGGAATTTACGCTCATGAGTCATGGTTGAAACATGCAGAGGCTGCTGAGAGACGGGGCATATTACAAGATGGCATTCTTCAGGATATTGAGACTTACGGTTTACTGAAAAGATGGCTCAACTTCTCTCATGCACCTCCTGAATCAAACTACTTCGGACATGATGCCCCGGACGAAGTGAGGTTACTGCACATCTTCGCTGCCGTCAATCTACAGGGCCCTAGTAGAACTCTTCTCGAAAGGGGCGTTTCCGCGATGGCTTCTAACTCATGGAATACAACAGCGATGCACTATGCTGCCGCTAATGGACATATCGAAATAGTTCGGATACTCATAGAAGCCGGCGCGAATGCATCTATAAGCCAACCAGATAATGACTACAATACCCCTCTGGATCTGGCCGCTAGAAAAGGGCATAAGGAAGTCTTGAAATTTTTACTCGAAAATGGCGCTGACATGAATGGAAACTCTGTAGGCGCCAATGCATTGCACACAGCTGCTAGGGCTGGAATGAAAGATATGGTTCAATTTTTGTTAAACGCTGGCGCACAAGTCAATGCAGCGAGTAACATCAAGGGAGATGCTCTGCAGAGTGCGTCGAGCGAGGGCAGGGTTGAGGTTGTCAAACTTTTGCTAGAAAATGGTGCCATTTTTCAAGGACACGAAGACTCTCTGTATGGTAATCCACTTTCGGCTGCAGCTCATAAGGGCAGCTTTGAACTTGTTGAGTAAGAATTTGCATGAACTAATTATCTAATCCTCTTCCGTGACACTAACAAGGTGCAGTTTATTCTTACAAAGAGGAATTTCGATCAACACCTCTGGAGGGCGCTACGGTAATCCACTCCAAAGTGCAGTCAATGCTCAGCATATTCATCCAAATATCGAGTTCATACGTTATCTCCTCTCTAAGGGTGCTGATGTCAATGCCCAAGGCGGACAAGATGGATCTGCTTTGCAAGCCGCTGTCAACAGGCATGGGCGGCCTCTCGAACCACATATGCTTGAAATCATACATTTGTTACTAGAAAAAGGTGCAGATGTGAACATTTCGGGTGGAACAGCAGGAGGAGTGCTTCAGGCAGCAGCTGCTAGTGGTCATGACAGACTAGTACAGCTGTTCATTGAACACGGTGCTTCGATCGATTCTTCGGATGGACTCTATGGAAGTGCTCTCACAAATGCTTGTTATCATGGACACAAATCTACTGTGAGGCTTCTCCTTAGAGCCGGAGCCAAATTGTATTCGGATGAGCTACCAGGGCTAAATACTCCATTGGAAGCAGCCGCCGAGGGAGGTCATACTGAAATCGTCAAAATCCTGCTCGACGCTGGAGCTGATGTTAGTGATAAAGGAGCAGACCGGATTGCTCTCCATTTTGCGGTTAAAGACAAGGTAATATTTGAACTCATACACAATCACGGGGCCAATATCAACGCTTTGGGGGGGCGATACGAAAACGTTCTTCAGGCTGCTGCAAGAGAGGGAAATGTGGAAGTTATGGCAATATGTCTAGATCACGGTGTCGACATCAACAAGACCGGCGGAGGATTTGGCAATGCTCTCCAGGCCGCCATACTTAGCGGAAGCCAGGCTTTTACATACTTGTTGAACCGAGGAGCAGACCCATTTCTGAAAGGAGGTAAGTTTGGCACTACCCTCCAAACTGCTGCATATCAGGGAGCAGTAGAAATAGTGAAAACACTGCTAGACTTGGGCCTCAGAGATGAGGCTTGTGGTTTCTGGGGCAGTGCTTTGGAGGCTGCTGAGCACGGGATAGGGAATTCGGCGGACAAGAAGGCCATAGTTGATTTACTCGTTGAAAGAGGTGGTGGTATTAGGTTACAGCCTCTCAACAGAAAGAGTTCTACAAGTCGGGAACAAACATAACTTGGAATTAATGATGAAAGACTAGTCCGCTTGATGGAACCAGTAACTGTCTACGAAAATGCAGGGGATATGCGCTACTTGTTTATCGTGGAATCTTGTTGATAAGAAATAAGCACATAGTATCCAACGCTTATCTACGATTCATAGATGCAAATTTACTTGTTAGCCATGGTACAACATAATGTGCAGTTTAGTCATTTAATTGACTTGGGATCTCTATAGAGTCTAGATTTAGATTGATACCCTATGCGGCGCTGAAATCGTTTCCTCGAAACAGATACGGATATGCATTAATCATGCACCTCTCTTAGCCATTGATAGCAATCCGAATTGTTTGTATGGACGCGATGATAGATATTTGGCTTGTATGAAACGCGGGTGGTATGGGTTTGGTGATGGTGGGGGTGGACTTCCTGTAACCAATGGCTATGCATGAATCGACCCAACCTGCGGCAGATAGGTAGCATTCGTCAATGCTTGAGGAATGGTTAGGTATGTATCGTCTGTGTCTAGATTTGACAAAATGATCGTCGCCGGATCCATGTCGGTATATCTGAATACCACATGATTTGGATAGCAAAGAGGCGTGTATATCTTCGGGGGCCAAGCCACTCTGTGTCCGTATAGATGCAGTCATTACATCGTTCCCCTCTCGGTGCGTTGGCGAAGTTCACGTACAAGAAGTATTTCGTAGGTATACGGGAGGCAAGGTTTTATGCAATCTAATAATAGCTAGCTAGCTAGCTAGGTACAGAGTACAGCAGACTCAAAGATTGACTGGCGGAGCAATACATTGACCTATCATTCGACCTCGATCGATCCACCATGTGTGGCTCAACTTTGGTTTGGGATGTATTGGTTCCTTGAAGATTACGAGCGAACCAATTATAGCAAGCTTTCATCCTTTTCCATGCCAACTAACGAAGGATGTTCCTGAGCTAATCTGCTTCGAAACACAATTTACTAAACCTAATTTCATATTAGTCTTTGGCGCAGTAGATCAGCCCAGTGGAAGAAATCATCCTCAAACAAACGGTTTTTTTCCTTTGGTATACTTTCACTTAATTTTAATCTTCACTTCACCCCCAAAAACCAAATTGTCGTAGATTTTATCCTTTTCCTCTTCATTTTTTGTTGTAAATTAATTACTCGTATATAAAACAAAACCATCAAAGTTCCCCCACGATCTTCCATAATACGAAACGAGTAATTGCACCAGAGTTTGGGAAATTGTGGCAGATTACTAGGTAGATTCCTTTCGCCAAACTTGAAGCCGGGTCGTGTTTAGGGGTCGAAGCGTGTTGTAAAATGAGTGTAAGTCCATAGTTTCACTTTCGTATCCTCGAGGTTTCAATCCCACGACAAGAGACCTCTCATTCTGCGATCTCTTCATTTGTGATATACATTTCAATTGAAAAGTTCTTGGAAGAAAAGATCAAATAATAAAATTACTCTGGAAGCAATTTACTAATAATCATGGCACAGTACGGGTTAGTTATTCACCTTCCACTCCATCATCTCCTATCAACGACCAGAAACATTTCACGGCTGGATTTGCGAACTTGCGACGATAGACACACTTGAATCCTAATACTAACCAGAATCATGTAGAAATAATTACGGCGGTGGTCAAAACCCGTATGCTCAACAAAATTCACCAGGCTATCCTCAATCGCCTCAATACGACAATGGAGCAGCCATGGGACGAGACTCTTATGGTGGTGAGCATTCCTGATCACACAACGACTATCATCCCATTAACATCAGAGTAGGACAAAATGTCGAGATGGCATCCTTAGCACAGAACGGAAGTCAGCCTGGAGAACAATATGATCCCAATGCTATTCTCAACCGATGTCGCCAAATCGACGTTGAAATCGACAATACTGCGCGAGGGATTGGAGCACTGGAAGCACTACGTGGTCGAATCAATAGAGAGGTTGATCAAGGCGGTATCACTAGAGACCTCGAGGATATTTCAGCCCAAACCATGGCGTCGCAGCGAGATATCATCGAAGAGCTTCGAAAAACCAAACTCATGCCAGATGCTGGGAGCGACATGAATACCAAACAAATCGGCAGAGTGCAACGCAAACTCAAGAAGACCATGGAAGAATTCAACGCGAAAGAGCAACTGATTAAGAATGCTGTTCGTGATCAAATGAGAAGAGAATATCGTATTGTCAACGCAGACGCCACCGACGAGGAGGTTGCTGCTGCTGTACCGGACTCAGAGCCCCAACAAATGTTTCAACAAGCTTTGATGACAAGCAACAGACAGGGACAAGCCAACACGACTTTGAATGCTGTCAGAGATCGAAACGCTGCTATCAAGAAGATTGAGCAAGATATTATACAAATCGCAGAACTGTTCTCACAGATGGAGAACCTGGTTGTACAACAAGAAGCTGCTGTGGTCAACATTGAAATGAAGGGCGAAGAAGTTGTCGAGAATATGGATAAGGGAGTTCAACAAATGGATACGGCAATTGTCAGTGCGAGATCAAGAAATAGAAAGAAGTGGTACTGCTTAGGTCTTGTTGGTATGTATCCCTTGCATCTCCTCCCATCCCTTACTTTAATCTTCCAATCACTAACGTAACATTTTACAGTCATCATTGTTGCCATTATCGCAATCGTCTTAGCTGTACACTTCACCAGTAACAAATCAAACGACAATACCAAACCTGCTGCCAAGAGAGCGGTTATTCCAGGTACCGACTTCACTACATCAGATAGACTTGTCGTACCAGGAGCGAGCTTCGTAGAATCAAGAATGGTGGTTGCAGGCAAGGATTGGAGTGAAGAAAAGGCAGTTGTTCCAGGTGCGGACTTCACACCTGTGGTTAGGAAGTGGAAGAAATTCATCGCATGAGTGAGATGAATTTTCGAATGAGAGGGAAATGATGTTTGTATATGGCAGGCCCAGTTGCGCTCTTGATGTTTCAATTTTCTTTTGTCTTTTCTGCGAACATGCATGTGGTACTGAACTCATATCAAATGAGCTGTGCATAAATAAGATTTGGGCGTATATGATGACTTTCCAGTTCAAGGACTGAAGAAGAGTAGGAAAGAGGAAACGGGAAGGGGAAAATTGTCCTTTCTAACACAAGCACGTTGAGATGAGACGTGCCTCGATACAAAACATTTCTTTGTGTAAGAATAATAGGTTTATATGGGAGGAAAAATTATATACCATACTTTACTTTACTTTTCTCTAGTTGCAACAACCATCATGTTGCGTTCATTCGCTTCGTTTGATATAGGGGTTGGGGAGCTCTCCGTTTCCTTAGTTTTGAGAGGAGAGGGTGGGATTGATGTTTATATAGAATATTGTAGTGTTGCTTTTAATATACGGTAGCTTTTTGTAATGAATCTTAACTGAAATTTATCTGAAGTTTGGTTATGCTTGTTTTGTGGGTTTGTGTTCTCGAGAGATGAATAGTTTGATATTGTATCTGCTGTTTTGGTTTTGGATGAGAAGTTCTACTTGTGAGTTTAGTTTTTTGTGTTTCAAGTTGTTGTGTTTTTTGCCTAGGCTTTGATCATCTTGTTTCACTCGTACTCGTTGGTAGAACTACGGATTCATTGCATTGCATTGCATTGCTTCATCTCATCTCATCTCGTCCATCTAATACTTTCCTACTCTTCACATAATCTACCTATACAGTTCTTCAACTTTTACATTTCCGTTGTATCTCACACATTATATCTCACATGTTTATACATCTCCCTCTATATATCTTTACTTCATCCCTCCACCCAATCATTCCATTTACTCACTTTCCATTCTCAAGTCTTCACCCCCCCCTTTTCTCTTTTATCTCTTAGCTCGAAATATTGGATAAGCTGACTGTCTAGGTACTTGGACATCGAGTAGATATTCACTCCTCGCTACTCGCTACTCGCTAATCGTCATGTCATTTCATCTATCTATAGCACATACAGCGTATTCACTCACACCCCCTTCGGTTAACCTGAATTAATTCACACATCTGTATTTCCTCGGTTAATTGACAGTTAATAGTCCCTTCCAAGGTTATTTTCGATCTCACATTCACTGCCAGATATATGAAGAAGAAGAAAAAAAGGGTGGGTAGATGCGAGATGTGAGTAAGAGATAGGAATTTTTTTACCTACCTAGGTATGTATACGTATACCTGAATGCCCCTCCTATATCTGCGATTTTCTCCATCTCATTGTTATCTCATCGTATTTTCTTTTTTCAATTCATTTTTTGAGTGATCTGTTTCGTTGGTTTATTACTTATCTTCATTTTTACGGTTGTTATTGTTGTTGTTGTTGGATTTTTGTTTAGACGATGTAGTGTATTCGTCCCATGATATCATATTCCACCTCATCATCCCATCTCTTCACTTTCTTCTAAAATCTCGATTCTCAATCTCGATTCTGAATCTCAATCTTATTCTCATCCCCTCGCCTCATTGTTTCTTTATAAAACCCTCATCTCTATCCAATTATCTCCCCTCAACCATTATCCATCATCCATCATCCACCAACCACCTCCTCCCATTCCACCTTTCAACCACGGTAGAACTACCATCAGTATTACCCTCTCCAGCTTATCATTCCCTCCCCAAATCTAGATCCAAGCCCCACTTCCCCTTCTACTCCCACTCCCACTCTCACTCCCTTCCATTTCCTCCCCCATTCCCATCCCGCCTAATATCAACATCCAAGTCCCAATCCCTCTTCCATGTCCACCACAAATCTAGATCCAAATCCCACTCCCCCTTCTACTCCCCCTCCCCCTTCTACTCCCCCTCCCCCTTCTACTCCCCCTCCCCCTTCTACTCCCCCTCCCCCTTCTACTCCCACTCCACATACACCTAGGTACGTAGGTACGTAGATAGATAAAAATCCATCCCCATCTAACCTCTTCTCCCATCTAACCTCTTCTCCCATCTAACCTCTTCTCCCATCTAACCTCTTCTCCCATCTAACCTCTTCTCCCATCTAACCTCCCATCTAACCTCCCATCTAACCTCCCATCTAACCTCCCATCTAACCTCCCATCTAACCTCCCATCTAACCTCCCATCCACCCACCTCCTTCCGATATACATTCGCTCCAGAACCTACCACATACTTAACCTTACTTATTTAAAACTCACTAATCATCTTATTAGGTACCTAGGTACTACTTTGATAATTTCCACTTATATATGTACAGTATGCCCAGGTGTACTTAGTATGTCATACCATCTATTCCCATCTCTTCTCATCTCATCTCATCTCATCTCATGTTACTTCCCTCTAAACACAACAATGTATCATACTCACGGGATTCCATCATACATATCATATCGCATTACATCGCATTACATCACATCGCAACACATCGCAACACATCGCATCACATCACTCATAATTACAATCGAAGTATAATGATTCAAACCAAAGTAATCCATGCACGAAATTAACCAATATAAATTATCTCACACCATTTGCGCTATGAGTACCGCTTAAACCTTTAACATTAAGAGCTAAACCAACCGTCCTGTCCGTCAATTCCCATACCTAACATACTGATCTGATACCTCGCTCCATGTCCTCCCAATCCCGCCTCGCTTAAACCTTCATGTCATGTCTATTTACCATGAAATATTAATATGATATTGCGCCTGTGATATACGCCTATGATAATCCGTATCATGCTATGCCGTACTGTACCGTGTCATTGTGTTGCCATGTCGTAAATGTATGTATTAGTTAATATATGCAACTCCACCTATCCCAAACCCTTTTCGCCCGCCCAAAGTAAAAATCCATTCGTATCCAGTCTTAGATATCAAGAAGCTTCAAATGCTTCTCCTTCTACCTCCCGCTCTCTCTGCTCTTCTTCCGCTGACTGCAATCCAGCTATCGCCATATCTCGTTCTTCGTCTCGTTCTTCATCTGCTTCTTCTCCATCAAAGTTGTTCAAACCCGTCTCTCCCATATCCCAACCCACACCACCAATAACCTTACGTAGAATGTCCATCCGTTTATCGAATCCCTCAAGTATTTTGTCCAAATCCAAATTCGCAATCTCTTTTTCATTCATCTCGTTGATTTCCTTTCCTTTCCCCTTCTCCCGACTCCCACTCAACTCCTTGTCCCCTTTATGAACGGGTATTCCCACCCCATCAATCCTCAACATCAATCCACCTCCCTTCTCCTTCTTCTCTCCGCCCTCCTCACCCACACTTTCGAAAATCGGTGCTTTCCCAATCTCACATCCCATAACCTGCCATTTGTCACTCAGACTTTGTGCTCTGACTACTCTATCTCCCGTTTCGTTCATATCGACAATAATAACTCTTTCCTCTCTCTGCTTCCCCTGTGTATCCTTGTTTTCCTTCTTCGTTGCTACTATTGATTTTGAGCTTGAGCTCGAGCCCGAGGTTCTTAATTCCCCAGAACTCTTGTTCGTCATGGAATTACTATTTGAAGTATCTGTATTGGACGCATCCGGTAAACTTCTCAAACAAGCCTCTTTCAATTCCTCACAATCCTCATCATCCGAAAATATGTAATGGATCTTACACGGATGGTGTGTTGTTGGCGTTTTCGGATTTCCATCTCCATCCTCAACTCCCATAGTCGAATCTGTAATCAATGTGAAGTATCCAGCGAAAGAGGTAACTTCTTCTCTAGGCATCTGCGAGCCGTCTTGTGAGTCAGATGGTTGTTGAATATGTACTAAAGGATCTGCGACATGCGGAGGATATTCTGGCATCTCGGGGAATGGTTCTCCATATGTGTATAATTCTTCTGCAGTAGGTGAAACGAGCCGACGTTGGTTATCGGGAGAGATATTTCGGGTATTTCTAAGTGAAGTAGTCTCTTCAGCAGTAGGTGAAGCAGATAATCGATGGTCTTCAGCAGAAAGATGTCGAGCCTCTCTTGGTGAAACAGAATATCTAACTTCCTGCGGAGAATTCGACAGATACTGAGGATTCTGTGGAGAACTAGATATCGAAATGTTTCGAGGAGAAGTGGAGATACGAAGTGTGTGATCCTGAGCTCGAGAGGGTGGAGGATCAAGAGAATCGGGTTCATTTGTAGACATGATGGATGGATGTATACTTGACTCTCCCGTTTGCGTGCAGTTGCGTTTTGTTGGGAAAGATGACGGAGAGGCGGGCTTGGAGTAGTTGTGTGATGATGGATATTGGTTAGCAAGTCGTCTTGGTATATTTGTGCATATGCCGTGCAATGTGATCGCGGGGATTCTTGATAATTACAATATCTTTAACAAATTACGAAGAGTTGCGAGAAAGGTTGGAGCTTGAGCTCCGGATGATTGATTGATAGACGCATTATCGATGGCTTGGCGTGTGTCTTATCTTATCGACACGTGATCTCAGATGAGGATGTTGAGGATCTAGACCTTCTCTATTGTACAGCAGCGAAATAACAGACGGGAATTGACCACCATTCGAATGAACTTCAACAACTAAAATCTCTTTTCGATATAATATTAAATAATAAAAACACTTACTAACAATACAAATAAGATTCAAATTTTCGTTTACTTTTTTCAAGTTTCAATATTTAATTTGAAATGAGTTTATAATCTATTAAAAAAGTCCTTGGAAAGAGGACTCAATTTCCACCTGTTTTTTCGCTTACATAGAGCTTACCTCTTCATACCATCAATAAAGCAGACTTCACTTTGCAACTACATTTGAACTGATACTTGAAGAGTATATTTCTCTATTGCATATTTCATCTTCCTATTAAACTAAATGGCTCTCCTGCTATGCTCAATATAAACACCTCGAGCATATATATCCATCCATCAATGCCATCGCTTCCAAAAAAAGACTCTTTGCGCCAAATATAATATCCGCTTTCGTATTGCTTCGTA